GGATGGATAAGTCAAAACAACGAGTAAGAAAATAGTGAAACAATAGCATTAATAATCAACCCAAAATCTGGGGATTTTTGATAGGAAAAACATCAAAAAGAAAAACCACTAGCTAACATAATCAAGAAGGAAAAACGAAAGAAAAAGTACAAATATAGCATTGTTTCTGTTGGCAGAAGATGGGAATGTAGGAAATGGTTAACTACAGTGCACATAAAAGGAAATACTGCGGCTTGCAAAGAAAGAACAAAGGAAGTCTTTGTGTATTGCTATGAAAAGAACTCCGAGATACACTACTAAGAGAAAAAGGTAAAGTCAGAACACTCTACGATTGTATCTGCCTGTACTTCTTTTTACCACTTTAGAAAGCATGTTGCAAACGGAGGCGGTGACCAAACAGGGTCTCCTACTTGGAGCACTAAGCGCAGCTCCATGCGGAAAGACCGCAAAGATACTAGAAAGATGCCTTTCACTTATAATGTCCTCTACTCGGGGGCTTCAGTTATGGGAATGCACTACCCACCGTTTTTTGAAAAAATCAATGATTTCATCATATATTTTCAAATATGTACTGCTTGCCAGATACAAAAACACTTGATGCTGGAGATGTACAAAATGAAAACATATAATCCTCCCTCTTAAATAATTTATAGTTTTTATAGCTTGGGGCAGATATTGTGTGGTTCAGGATACAGTCCTAAAATAGCTTAGTTTATATAGTTGGGTAGGGAATCAGCAAATCAACAATTGGGATACAATGTACATAGTTCTTCATTCGGAGACTAACAGTGTTGTCAAAGATGGAGACTAACAGTGTTGTCAAAGAAATCTTTATCGAGGGAAATAAGGGTTTTTTTTTCAGAGAATGTAGTTCTTGGCGTATGTCCTAAAGGGTGAATCAGAGATTTTCAGTGAAAACATAAAGGCTATCTTCACACAAGATAGAATGCAGAGGCAAAAACCACCGAAGCAAAGAACGAAGAAATCAATACAGGTCAGGATTTGCAACAGGAAGAATGGCTGAAGTTGAGTTTGAAAAAGTTTAAAACGGGCTAAAATAAGGAGGACATGTAACGACATACTATGTGATATAATTCTTCCAAGGATTGTATAAGTGCTGGGGATAAAGAGGTAAATAAATACAGCCTTCTTCCAGGAGTCTATAGTCTACCGGACAATGTCCAAGGAGACCAAGAAAGAGGTGTTTGCAATAGTTTGATGTTTTGACCTTTCCTGTCTCTGGCCCTTTGCACATGCAGTTGCCTCAATCAGAAATGTTCTCTATGTATTCCCTTATCTCATCCATTCCTAGTGTAGCTAACTCCTTTGCCAAGACCGAGATTAAACGAAATCTTGTTCTGGGTAATCTTCTATGACTTCCCTAACTAAATCAGTCAGTTCTGCTTGCTACAAACCCCAACATCAGGATTTCCACTTGCTACAAATTCAAACTTGGAAACTTTTCATAGCACATTGCATATATCTGTCTTTTTCTCCAAACCATACACATAATATAAGACCTAATTCTTCCACTGTGACCCTAGCACCAATCACAGTTTATTGGTACACATAGACCCTTAGTGAATTTTAATTAATGAGAAAATTTTAGAATATAATTTAGTTTTTCCTGATCATCTAAATTATATTATTCCACTTCAGTTATATAAGACTGGGGTTATTCATTTCTTTTTTTGATATACTTTTTCCTTCGTTTCAAATCACAAATTGTCACTTCCTACTACAATCAAGTCTAAGAGATTCCAAATGCTTTTAATTTGCAACTTTCCATCTGCTAAGCTAAGGAGATAAACTCAGTTATAAAGGATAAGACTGGCATGTGGCCAAATAGCAGTATACAGCTTTAAGGGGTTTGGGTTTGGTTTGGGGGGGTAGGGGTGTTGTTTTTTCCCAGGGGGCAGGGAGGGTTGTTTTGTTGCTGTAGTTGTTTTGTTTTTAGGGTGGTGATATAATAGGGTAGAAGAAGAGTATAAGGAGGGAAAGATGCTCTAAGTAAACTATTTCAATGTCACTGCATACTGGGTCTTTTGCCAACAAACCCTTATATTTTTGCTAACTTTGGTATATTCCATATTATAAGTGCTACAATCAAAATTAAGTTCAGATAATTGTTACTATGAGTTTCTTCATTTAGGAGGGGAAAAAAAAGTAAACATTCCATTATAAGGGTTAAAAAAACCACCTAAATAATTAGCTCAGGATACTAAAGGAGAAAAAAAAAATCACTGATTTTCAATAATCTCATGGTATACATTTCCCCTCATTTTCACATACATGAAAATGAAATATAACTCTCAGTCAAAACCTTAAAATTAATTTGCAATACTGAACATTATGCTCTTAAGAACCATCTATATGAGATCAAACTGGCAACAGCAATTGGAAAGATCTGGTAAGAACCTAAGGGAACAAGGAGTCTATCTGAAGGAGGGAGGAGCAAGTAAGAGGAAGGCCACAACTGTTGCACAGCCCAAGGGGTGCATTCGGTGCTACAAAATTATATATGTAGAAACTGCTGAGCTGCTGTATATTTTGCTGTGTATATTCTCAACTACAAAATAAATTAATGAGCAAACATAATTTCTTAACTGTGCAACACTAATGGTGCACCTCATAACTGACAGCACTTTAGAGTTGATAAAAATGCAGTGTCTAAGTCTTGTAAATATACCCATCCATGAACCAAATTTCTCACCTAGATAGCTCCCTCTCCTTAATCCTACTATACTTCTCATAGGATTTAAAAGTTACTATCAAAAAAGGAAAGCAGTGATTTGGTTGCACTAAGGAATCTTACCCTAATTACAGTAACTTTAGTTTTAGTAAATAAAAGGCATTCTCATTGATATGGACCAAATAAAAACTCTCCTGTAAAAATCTTCAGTGAAATCTCTTAAAATCTTTACTTTGGGGAGAAATGTATAATTATATATAATCATAATAATGCATTTAAAACTTTAATTACTCATTGAGCAAATAGAAAAAAATTTTAAGTTAATCCCTTGAATCTCCTCCGGATTAACTAAGATCAACAGTGACCCTGACATATGCAGGTAAGGGAGGTATTGAACTATTTATTACATAACAAAGAACATGAGAATTTCTGAAAACATAATGCAACTAAATAAGCTTCCTGAATTATCAGCAACATAATCAGTAATATGGACTTCCAATTTTATCCAATGAACTTCAAGGAAAGCTATTTTATCTTTATCAAAACAACAATAAAAACTCCACTGCTTTCAAACGGATTTTGATTCAGAGCAACTGTATAGGGCAGAGTAAAACTGTCCCATGCCACCAGAGCTCCTTCTCTGAGCTCCCACCTAGAATGATTCACCTACTTGAAAGTTTTCATTTAAACACAATTGCAAAGATTAGATACAGTATCCCTGAACTAATTTAATCTGTAGATATATAAAAAAGATGTATACCATATATTATTTTTATCCTCAGACACAAAAAGGTAAATCAACTGTTTCTTGTAATGTTATCATTATCATCAAACATTTCTCTTAAAATAAGAGCCATAATCACAATTAAAACCTTCCTATTAGAGCTAGTATGATATGACAAAATAATATTTATAAATCATCAAGGGTTCATGAGGGAGGGGGGAGCGGGGAGGGAGGGGGGAAAACGAGGAGCTGATGCCAGGGGGTTACGTGGAGAGCAAATGTTTTGAGGATGAGGGTAACAAATATACAAATGTGCTTTATACAATTGACGTATGTATGGATTGTGATGAGTTGTATGAGCCCCCAATAAAAAAAAATTTTTTTTAAAGCAAATGTTTTGAGAAAGATGAGGGCAACAAATGTACATATGTGCTTGACACAATGGATGTATGTATGGATTGTGATAAGAGTTGTACAAGCCCCCAATAAAATGATTTTTAAAAAAAGAACAAAAGTCATAGAGAAATATGTTTAGCTAATAAGAGACTAAATAAAACCAGGTATGTATTATTTAAAGAGATAATTAAATGAGAATTTTTATCTTATAACCATCACTGTAGAAGATAATAAACGAACAAATTCCTCTTAAAAATGCTTACCTTTGTCTAGGAACTATGAAGAGCGCTCGTACCAACTTTTTCCTATTAGCTTTTGTGTTCATGTTCATGCAAAAATCCATTGCTGCCTGTAGGAGAAAAGGCAAAATTTTTCCTTACTAAAAAGAGAGAGAACAATCCTCAATTTAGCTGCTGACAGCAGATATTGTGCCTAAACTAATGGACTTCAACTAAGTCATCTTAATGTAAATAGCTACAAAAAATATGCTCCATATGTTCACTTGCAACAAAACAGTGAGAAAGGAATTTCACATGGGCAATATAAAGACCTACTATGAGATGCTTGGCAAATATTTATATGGAAAAATACAACCAATGCCTCTGGTCATATTAAAGTCAAGTAAATCAATGTAAATATTAGGAAAGTTCTCTGGTGAAGTAGATGGTAATAAGATTACTTACTAGGAGCCAAATGCTAGTAAGGATAATCTAAAGAAATAAAGATTAACTAGGTATGAAAGAAAGGTACAAATTACTCATAGGAACCTGTAAGAATAAGACAGATGTGTCCCCACACAGGCTTTAACAGTTTAGGACCACCAACAATGTGATTTCATAACTCAATCAGAGAAACCTTATCATATGATTAAAATAAATATCCACAATTGTTATTTAGTATCATTATCCACTATCCTATGTGTTAAGATGAAAAAACACAACATTTCATCAAAAAAACTCACACATTTAGTATAAATATAAAAAATATATTAAGGGAGATGCATGTCTTAGAAAGGAGTAACTAAAATGAGTAACTGATATTCTAAAAGTACAGGCATATCTACCAAAAGAATGTTAAGAGATTTTTTTTGGTGTATTTAGTTTATGAAATAACAAATTACACTGTAAAGGGAAAACACTATTATCAAAAATCCCTTTAAATATCTCAAATAATTTGTTTCCATAGGTCCATCTGATTAGTTTATTATTTATTCAACCCTTACATAGATATGAGGATCACACAAACTAAAAGACACTCCACTTTTCCTGAATTGTAAAGGATTTCTATTCTTCACTAAACAGTCAGCAGTGAGTCACTGAGGTATCTCCATTTAATTAAAATATCTAATGAAATGTTACAGGTTCCTGTGAATATTCTTTGTCTCTAATAAGACTCAGAACCAGAAAACTTTAACTCAGTCTGAAAGTATTCACCAGGATTGAAACTTTACATCAATATAAATAGAAACTCAGGATGTCTTCTAAGTTTTTCCTTCTACGTTTGAAAGGACATATAAGTGTTATTACTCTCGTGAGCATTCTGTCAGTTCTGACTCATGGTGACCCCTTGGGTGTCACAGTAGAACTGTGCCCTACAGAGTTTCAGAGGCTGATTGCTCTGAAATGGATTCCTGGGAACTTTCTCCAGAGATGACTCTGGGTGGACTCAAATGACAACATTTTGATTAGCAGCATTTATGTCAACCAGGGACATCAATAAATGTTATTAAGATTTATATTGTATAACATTAAAACTTATTATAGCTAATCAGAATAGAAAGAAAAAAAGCTGAAAATTAGAGGTTATATTTCCTTTAAACAATTCACCCAATATGACCCTAACAATTGCAATGTATTGTCTTTTATATAACTCCTAATAAACTAGAGTCACAATAACCCGTGCCTTGGTAATAATACAAACAAAAACCCAAAAGGTTTTACTTAAGAATGAGAAATCAGGATCCGAGAACTTCACACACACCCACAAAATAATCAACATTTGTGAAAAGCAAAATTGGAAAATGTTAAGTTGCTAATAATATCCAATTTCTCAATATAAGTTAGGAATGAATTTTAAAATGTACAGTAATATCAATTTTTGAATCTTATCCCCTGAAGTATATATTTTAAGGTATACTTAAATTTTATGAAAGTAGTTACTTTTCCTACCCTAATAATCAAAGGTCAACTGTATACTATATGTATGTATTTATATATATGTATGTGTGTGGATTATATAAACTACTGCCATATATATTATGTATTTACATATATTAATACATACATTTTTAAAACTAATGTTCAAAAACTCTACAACTGAGAGTTAATAATGCAAGTTACTCTGTGGCACATACAGTTAAGTAAATATGTAGAACAGATTATTAAAAGATTACATGAGTAGAAAAACAACCAGAATGAATTTGAGAAAATTTTGGGGAAAAAAGAACCTTCACAGGTACATAAATTCTTTAATTCCCCACCATTTGGGGCAAAACAGTAGCAAAGGAGGTTTTTTGAAAATTTGTTTCAGACATATGGAAAACACAGTACAGAAGTAATTTTATTATGAAAAGTAAATTCAATCACATTAAGATAAGTAAAATGCAAGAAAAAAATGCATGAGTGACATTACTCACAGAAGGTCCTTAAAATGACTCTTCTCTGAGTTATGTGGTTATATACATATTGTTGGAAATTAGCTTTAATGCTTTTATACAGATGTATATATACATCTATACCACATATATGTATATTGTTGGAAATTAGCTTTAAGCACTAACCAAAAGGTCAGCTGCTCAAGCTCACCAACCACTCTGCAGGACAAAGAAAACTGTGGCAGTCTGATTCCACAAAGATTACAGTCTCGGAAATCCTGTTGGACAATTGTACTCTATCCTAAAGAGGCATGATGGCGTAGTGGTTTGAAGTTGGGCTGAGACCCACAAGGTCAACAGTTCCAAACCAGACAGGCCTTTTTACTTCCGCAAAGAGTGACAGTCTCAGAAACTCCCAAGGGGCGGTTCAAGACGGTTCTACAGGTTCACTATGGTTGGCATGATCTCCCTGACAGTGAGTTTTTTAGTTACTCTGTCCTAAACCGTTGCTAGGTGTCAGAACCTATTCAACAGCAGTGGTTTGCTTGTGCCCCTGCCCCAGGTAAAGACAATAAACAGATACTGAAATGGAAAGTATAATCATGTTAAAAACTGAAAAGCTAAAATTCAACTGCTTCAGTGTAAATATCCACAAAATCAATTTACTGATAAGTCCCTGCTAATGGAATAACAGACTACATGTGAGCCAAGATTAGAGTTCTGGTAACATTATTAAATGGGGGGGGGGGGGGGGAGATTTGTTGTTGTTTTCCTTTTTTAAAGTAATAAAACATTTTTTTATTCAGATAACAAATTTATTCCCTCAGAGCTACTGCTTCAGGAATTAATTTCTAGAACAATACAGGTGCTAGCAAAATTTACTTGCCTTTACATTGAATAGGTAGAGAAGGAAAAAGTTGTCTCGTTGATGACTTGGTGTATTACTAAGGAACTTAAAGGTACTTATACATAAATGATACGCAGGAGGAATTTCACATTGCCTATTTTCACAGTTGTCATTTAACTTTAAAATTAAAATTAATACTTATTTCTCCTACTGGAGGAAAACAACTGCTATTTACAGTCCTATAATCTTGTTAGCAGTAAACAATAAAGCTGGTTAAACAGAAAATTATTTTCCTTGGCACAAATGAAGCTTGCCAGTTTAAATTTGGGGGTGGGAGCTAAGGGTGGGAACCAATCAGCCCACATTATAAGAACAATACATACAAGTGTGTGTATATATGTATATACACACACACATATATGCATATTATATATGCAGATAACATCAGTTATTACAATTCTGCCTCTTAGAAACCATCAACTTCTCAGTCATAAAATGAGAAACTAAGATCAGATGATTTCTAATGATATTTTTGGTTTTAGAACTTTAGTTATTGATAAGGTAAGACTTAAGGTTTATAGCTACATAAATTACTGAACTCAAAAATTTCTTAAGATTTTTCTTTGCAAATACTAAATGTACTTTGCAAATAAGTTTCCTCTTAAGCCATCTGGATAGCAAATAGCTTCATCTTTCTCTCACGGAGAGGGTGGTAGGTTCAAACAACTGACCTTGCAGTTTGCATCCTAATGAATAACCCACCACACCACCAGGGTTCATTGCCAACATTCAGTATAGAAAGTACTCCTTTCATTAAAAACAAACAAACTTGGAACCAAAAGGAAGAAGATAGGCCCCTAATTTTTATCTGGCAGAGAAATAACTCAGTATTTAATATATAGTCACAATTGACAATAACTACTGAATACTAGCATATACTGTACATCTCAACACTGTGACCTAAGAGTTGCAAGAACAATGTTTTCTAACCAGAACTGACGTCATCATTCCCATCGTCCTCTTCTATAATAGCACTCAAAGGGTAGTGTGGGGTAGTACAGGTTTGTACTTACCCTCTTTCAGTATGAGGTAGATCAAATCCTCAAACTAGAAACCTAATCAAGCAATTGTTCAAGATGTGGTTTCTGCTTTATTTTATATAAGATAAAGCAGAAATATACTCTAGACATCCTAAATTTTTAAAAACAATAATAATTTATCACTCCAGAACTAAAACTATCTGATTAAATGACTCACTGCTGAAATCCATTTAAGTTGTTTGAAGAAGGACTAAAAAAGCAAAAAGTCAAAAGGCAATCTAACTTTTTAAAGAGGACCCTCAAAAGCACTGTGACTAAAGAAAGTTCTAAAGCAACAGTTTTAAAGCTTCTGGTCTCGAGTCCTTTAATACTCATAAAAGATACTGAGTAACCAAAAGAACTTCGTTGATGTGGTTTATATCTATCAGTATTTATAGTAAAAGAAATAAAAATAAAATTTAAAATATTAGTTATCTATTAATTTCTTATGAAAAAAAATTTCAAAACAAAAAATACTTGGGCACACTCCATCTTCCATGACCCTCACCACCAGAACTAGATGGTATTTGGCCACCGTGCTCACCATAAAAGGGATCTGAACAGGATCACAATAGATCTTAGAATGGGGAAAAATATATAGAATAAACTCAAAATAATATAAAATAAAATGAGGCTTTCAAGTCTGAGAGAGCCTGGTGAAATCCCCTAGGCAATAGCCCCTCGAAGTCCCTTCCAGCCTAGAAGTGAATTCACTCTTTTGGCTCATCTTTCAGCCCAACAATAGGTCTATGGGATGAGCAATAACACTATGGAGGGAAGTTCCACTCCTTACAGCAGTCAGTCATAGGCGCTCAAAGAGCGTTTGCCCACAGAAAAGCTCAGGAGGCAGGAAGGGATAGGACAGAAGGACACAGGGAAAGAGCACACACAGGAAGGAAATGGGAAGAGTGCTGCTACATTGTGGGGATTGTGATCCACGGCACAAAGGTCTATGAATTGTTGGGAAGTGAAATTGTTTTACTGAAAATCACACAAAGCACAACTAAAAGGTTTTTTAAAGGTTTAGTTGAAAGAGCAGTACTGTTTTAGGAACAGCTGTTATTTCAAGTCCATTTATGCATTCCATTTGTTGAAATGTGTTTAAGATGAAGTAGGAAGGAAATCTGGCTCCATGCAAATATGTAGTTATGAGGGGAGCTGTACTTTTCATCTGTTTCATATAGAAATTGAGACGCCTTGGAAGTATAGCAGTTATGTATTGAGCTGCTAACCACAAGATCAGCAGTTCAAAACCACCAGGTGCTCTGCAGGGGAAAAGAGACTTTCCACTCTTGTAAAGTTAGTCTCTGAAACCCAGAGGTAGTTCTACCCTGTCCTACAGAGTTGCTATGACTCAGAATCGACTTAACAGCAGTGAGTTGTTTTTAGTGTCATTTTGCTTTTTAAATAGAGCCTATACCAAAAATTTAAAAATACCAGTTTTTTAAGGATCAGTTGCCATTTAGAACCAGAAACACCTATCAGTAAATGTTTCATTAAAATTTAACTTAAATTTAAACCCACTGGTCTATCTTTTACTTCGTATGGAATTTTTTACTTCGTATGGAATTAAATGACTCACTGCTATGAAATTCCTAATTAGGAAACTCTTACCAGGTCTACGTGTGTAAGTAAAAATCACAAAAGCTATAATCATACCTTGTCTATTAGATCGCGATTGACACAGTTGGGCAACTGCTGCAGAAAAGCATCTACTATAAGCTTGAGATGAGATCCAGTGCTGGCTTCTTCATCCTCTTGTTCTAATATGAAATTGTTTTTTTATAAACAGGTTTTATAAAATGCAAGGAAAATTACAAAAATAACATTCACATCCATGACATGATTTTCTAAATATGTAATATCCCAAAGAATTCACAAGAAAACAATTACTGCTAATAAGTAAAGCAAAGTTTCAGCGTATAAGATTAATACACAAATATCACTTGTGTTTTATACCAGCAATGAACACGCTGAAATCAAGAAAACAATTCTAATTCTAAAGAATTATAAAAGAACAAGTACCTAAGAGTAAATTTAACCAGGGAGGGGAGAGCCTTATGCACTAAGAACCATAAAAGACAGCTGAAATTAACCAAGAATGAAAATATGATGTGTTTATCGATTAGAGACCTTACTGTTAAGATGCCAACACTATACAAGGACTTATCCATTCACTGAAACCCCTATAAAAATTCCTACAGTTTACAATTTTTTCGTGGCAAAGAAAACCCAATCTTCAAGTTCATGTGGAAACGCAAAGGGCCTAAAATAGTCAACAATCTTCAGAAAGGACTCATACTTCCTGATTCCCAAACATATCATTAAGTTAAAAGAATAAAAGCAGCATTGTTCTGGCATACAGCTAAACACACAGACAAATGGAATACAATTAAGAGTAAATAAATAAATAAATGCAACTATGGCCAAATGATATTGAATTAGGATCCCAAGTCCATTCAACAGGGAAAGAAATCTCTACAACCGAGAGTACAAGGACAACAAGGTCTCCGTATGCAAAAAAATCAGTATACCCCTATGCCATGCATCGATCCCAAAACTAACTCGAATCAAGGACCTGAACATTAGAACTAAAATCACAAACCTCTCAGAAGAAAAAGCTTCAAGTTTGTGTTTTTGATGATGGATTCTTAAACATGACCAAAAGACTAGCAATAAAAGATCATTTGGAGTGTCTCAAAATTGTATACATCAAAGATGTTTATAAAGAAAATAAAGCTACAACCTATAGAATGGGAGAATATATTTGGGAACTCTATATCTGACAGAAAGAATATATACATATATAGAATATAAATAACAGTATATGTGTCTTAGAAGTAGACAAAAAGACAATCCAATAAAAAATAGATCGAATAGATATATAAATGGCAAGTGAACATGAAAAAACGTCCAATGTCATTTAGGAAGTTCAAATCAAAACTTAAGGAGCTACCACTTCAGACCCAGTAGAATGACTATCATTAAAAATACTAATAGTAAACTCAAATATTGGTTAAGATATGGAGAAATTACCATCTCAGTGCATTGCGGATGAGAAAGTAAAACGACGACGCAGCCACTGCAGAAAAGTTTTGGCTGTTTCTCAGAAAGTTAAACATGCATTACCATGTGATCCAGCAATTCCAATCCGAGATCCACACAGACGACTTAAAAGCAGGGATTAAAGGAGGACTAATACATCACTGTTCATTGCAACATTATTCACAATAGCCAAAATGTGAATACAACACAAATGCTTATCAACTCAGGAATGGATAAACAGAATGTGGTAGAGTCATATAATGGATTATTATTCAATCATAAAAAGGAATGAAGTTCTCCTACATACTACAACGTGTAAAAATCTTGAACACATTATACTAAGTTAAAGGTGCCACAAAAAGAGAGGGAATATATGATTCCACTTATATGAAATATCTGCAGTATGCAAATCTATAGAGAGATTAGTGGTTAATAGAGGCAGGAGAAGGGGAAAAGGGGGACTTGTTTTTTAAAGTAATGCTTGCCTAACACAGTTAATATAATTAGTGTCACTGAATTATAAACTTGAAAATTTTATAATGCCAAATGCTATACCTCATATGTTGCCACAATTGTTTAAAATTTAAATTTAAAAACCTATTTTTTAACTCATGAAAAATTAACTAGTTTTAAAATATTAACCTAGAAAACTTGAGAATCTCTAGAGTGAAAACTCCAAATACATAAGAGCTGTAAAAGCCCCCAATAAAATTATTTTTTGAAAAAGATAACAATGAGATCAAAAAAACTGCAGATGCGCCAGTGTTTCAGCTGTCAAGACAAACTTTTTGCAAGAGACACAAAATCTAATCATAAAATGTATGGAGTTCTATAGTAAATCTATTTATTATTTAACATCCCTTCCTCATGTTACTCAATGAACAGTATGATGAACTTTCTTGTGATTTTGCTAAAGGTTAGAAAAGTCCTTGGGTGGCACAGACAGTTAAGCATCCAATTACTGATCAAAAGGCTGAAAGTTCAAACCTGCAGCGAGGCTTCAGAAGACAAGCCAGATGATCTGCTTCCAAAAGGTCACGGTCTTAACAACTTTACAGAGCACAGTTCTACTCTGATCTACATGGTGTCACATGAATCAGAATGGACTCGATGGAATGGTAATGAGCAACAACAAGGACCCTAAAAACCAGCCATAACGGAAGGACTTTACCTGATATGGGTTGGTGCTGCCCATGAAAGTACACATATCACTTTCCTCTTGACCACAGGAGTAAGAATGACACAGTACTACCTGAAGTCCTTCTGTGATATTTAAATATAGTAAGAGAGAAACTCTTTTCCTCTAATGTTACTGGTAGGTATTGCATAAGCATAGGACAGCCTCCAGTCATGCCCACCCTCCCTCCATGGCATGAAAAAAGACAATCAACAGTAGGAAGCAATGACGTCAACAAATAGAAAAGTAATATTGACAGAGGTAAGGAAGGCATAAGAAGTAAGCAAACACAAACCAACAAATCTGATGAAAGCATGAGTCTATGAGAGCGACACATGGATTTCCTATTTATACAAATCATTCTATTTCATACTTCGCTAGTATGAATTGAATGTTAATCACATACAAACAAGAGTCCAAAGTCATGCAGAAATGAGGGAATATTTAGTAAATGATTAATAGTATGTTTTATCATTAAATATAAAACATTTGATTACAAAAACAGATAAAATTATCAAATATGCTAGTTGTCTTTCCATTACTTTCTAACCACTCAAAAATAACTTTTAAATACGATTATATTAAATTTGTAAAAATTATGTTAGAAAACAAAAGTACAGGACAATGCTAGCAAGTGGTCAGAAAAGTATATGAAATATTTATTAAAATATTGAGAATTAAGATATTTGGAATGTAGACGATCACTGAAGTTTGTAGTCACATAATATTGTGGGCACAGTATTTCTATTCTAAATCAAGATCCAAAAGAACAATGACCTGGGAACAACAGAAAGCAGAAAATTAAAGAGAAAGGAATTATACCCTTAAACAAGAGCTGTGTAGATAAAAATTAATCTAAAACTTAAAATGTTGGCAAAATGGCGCCTTACCCTGTTCATCAAGAAGTTTCTTTGTAAGATCTTCAGCTTCATCACCACCCTCTAACTCCAAGGTGTCATCATTAATTTCTAGATTCTCCAGCTCAAGTTCTAAATCATCAGAACTTGATACTTCCTTATTATCCTTACAATCTTTAGCTTCTGTTTAAAAAGAGAAAGAACATGTATCTTTGAATTAAATGACACATTGCAATTCTGTTACAAAAATAGTCCAAGGATTCACTTACATCAGAACCTGCAAAATAGCACAAACCTAACAACTTAAATTTTAATATATCCAGACTTCAAATATACAAAAATCCACACTCAAAGCCATCGTGTCCATTCTGATTCATAGCAACCCTACAGAACAGTACAGAACTGACCCCGTGGGTTTCTAAAATGGTGTGTCTTTTTTTTATTAAATACTTTTTTACTGGGGGCTCTTACATGTCCTATCACAATCCATACATTCATCCATTGTGTCAAGCACATTTGCATTTATGCTGCCATCACTTTCAAAGCACCCTTTCTACTTAAGCCCTTGATATCAGCTAACTTTCCCCCTCCCTTCCCTGCCCTCCCTCCGTCCTGAACCCTTGATAAGTCATATATTATTATTTTCATATCTTACATCGTCCTCTGTCACCCTTCACCTACTTTTCTGTTGTTCATCCCCCTGGGAGGGGGTTATATGTTGGTCCTTATGATCGATTCCCCTTCTCCCCAACATCTTCCCCTAATCCTCCTGGTTATCTCTATTCTCACTGTTGGCCCTAAGGAGTTTATTTATCCTGGAGTCCCTGTGTTGTAGGCTCTTAGCTGTAGTAGTGTGCATGTTCTGGTCTAATCTGATTTGTAAATTAAATTGGGTTCATGACAGTAGGGGGTAGAAAGCATTAAAGAACTAGAGGAAAGCTCTGTGCTTCATCGGCGCCATATTGCACCCTGACTGGCTCATCTCTTCCTGTGACCCTTCTGTGAGGGGGTGTCCCGCTGTCCACAAATGGGCCTTGGGACTGGAACTCTTTATGAGCATAGAAAGCCTTGTCTTTCTCCTGAAGAAGTTGGTGGTTTCAAACTGCTAACCTTGCAGTTAGCAGCCCAATACATAATTCCTATGCCATCAGTGCTCCAGACTTAGAGAATATGTTATTATTTATATTATGTTTATTTAGAACAAGGGTCGTAATTTCTTTGATTCTGCTATGAAGGAAAAAATGGGGAGGTAGATGGATAATGGACCAAGGTAGAGACCTGAATGATTAGAGATTATGTGCTCAAGCTGAAGGAAAATAAAGCTGATTAGATAAGGTAATCTTGGATTATAGAAAATCTCAAACTCCTAGATGAGTTCACATTTTCTCCTTTATGCAGCATGACCTCTGCAAAGTAATGAGCAAGAGTTAACACATAAATTCAATTTAGTGGCAGTATACAAGACAAATAGGAGCTCTGGTGGCACAGCACTAATTACTCAGTTGCTAACTGAAAAGTTGGCAGTTCAAAGCCACCCAGCAGCCCTGTGAGGTGGAGACCCATAAAGAATAACCAAGAAAGCTAAACTCACTGCCATCGAGTCAACACCAACTCACAGCAACCCTGTAAGACAGGGTAGAACTGGCCCGTGAGTTTGAGACTGTTAACTGTTTACGGGAGTAGGAAGTCTTGTCTTTCTCCCTCAAAGCTGCTTGTGGTTTCAAACTGTTGACCTTTCAGATTACAGTCCAACGCGTAATTACTACACCACCAGCAGTCCATTCCATAAAGATTACAGCCTAGAAAATCCTGGAGTGCATAGGGTCACTATGAGTTGAAATCTGTCACATGGGGTTATTATGAATTGAAAATACTTGACAAAATCACAAACATACAAAATAAGTTAGAAACAAGCACAACTAGACGTAAAAAAAAATTAGAAAAACATTCTTAAAATTTAAATGATTAAAGGAACCCGAAAAAAAAAAAAAAGGCTAATTGGTAATATACTAAAATAGGATTTTTTTTTTTAAAGAAGTGAACCAGAGGCTCAGCAAAGTTGACAAAATGTTGATAACTGTTGAAACTAGGTGACAGGTAAATGTAAATTCACTCTTATTTTAGTGATATGAAAATGCTCATAATTAGAAAACAAAGTAAAATAAATCCACCTGAGTTCAAGAACTTGTGGTTATAAGCACAGTCCAGAAAGACAATGTTCTACATCCTACTATGGTGAGTAGTATGAAGTTCTGGTGGCACGGTGGGTACCAACAACAAAGTCAACAGTTCGAACCCACCAGCCATTCTACAGGTGAAGCTCTTCACATAAAGAATTACGGCCTTGGAAACTCAAAGAGGACAATTCTATCCTCTTCTGTAGGGTTGCTGTGAGACGGAATCTACTTGACGGCAGAGTTTGGTTTTTGAAATGGTAGGTAACAACTAGGTCTTAAAAGCTTGCTATCAGCTTCTAAAATAAACTATTAGTTTCTCCCCGTCCAAAACAAAGAAAATAAAAATATCAAGGGAAACAAATTAGTCCAAAGAACTAATGAGCCTATATTAACCTGAGATAAGAAGCCCTGGTGGCATAATGCTTACAAGTTAGAATGCTACCTACAAGGTTGGCAGTTCAAAACCATGAGCCACTCCTCAGGAAAAAGACAAGGATTGTTACACCCTCAGAAACTCATACAAACAGTTCTACCCTACCCTACGGGTTTGCTATGAGTAAGAATACACTTGCTATCAGTGAGTCTGGCTTGGTTTTTGTTTAGCCTTAGATCTTAAGAATTAGATGGTACCTTACTACCACTGCCAACCTCTCTAATCAAGATCATAGTAGGTGGTTGTGGTTAGAATGGAACAAAAATATAGAACAGAATTCAAAATTATAAAAAAGGTCAGACTTACTAGCCTGAAAGACAGGTGAAAGAGTCTTCAAAACTGGAAATGAAACCAGCCCCAGGGATCACCTTTCAGCTTAATACCAGAAAGACCCACAAAGTGAGCTGTCATTCCCACAAAGAACATACTCCTCAGAATAACCAACCACATCAGACCAAAAGGGCAACATTTGCCCAACACAGTTCAAAAGGTAGGAAGGAGCAGGAAGGATGACAAATGGCAATGGGAAACCCAGTGAGAAGATGGGGGAAAAGAGCTGTCACAGTGAAAGAATTGCAACTAACATCATAAGAGAAGCGTACAAATTGTTGAATGGAGAGTTAAAGTTATTCTGCAAGTTTTCACCTCTACCACAATAAAATGTTCAATTAAAAACCAAACCAAACACTGAGACCCATGCTTATCAAATGTCTGAAACTAAAGAGTGGTTATTAAAGTGCAAAAACAGAGCAAATGGGACTCTTGCATCAGTAGGATATATATAAATTGATATAATCATCATTTTAGAGAATCATATAGGGTTCTCTGCTAAAAATAAAGGGCCCAACAGATAAATATTGTTAAGCTTATATTACAAGTACAATACAAAGTCATTAAAAGATTTTGAGGACAGCAAACAATTTTTATGAACATATCGAAAGGAGCAAGAACAAATAAAAGACCAGGTAAGAAATATTAACATGCCTGACTAAGAGATAATGATAATTTAAACTACAACAGTAGCTGTAAGATGAAGGGAAGATCAAAAAGAACCCTACTGGTGTAGAAAGGGTTAGGCTGCAAAACAAAGTCAGTGGTTCAAGCCTTTACCAGTTCCTCAGAAGAAAGATGAAGCTATCTGCTACTGTAAAGATTTATACAGGCTGGACATCCTACAAAGCAGATCTACTCTGTCCTGAGTAGGGTCACTATAAGTCAAAATCAACTAAACAGGGTGATGATGGCAGTGTAGCATCTGAAAGAGATAAACACACATATTAAAATAAAAGCAGAATCCGCTGACTTTATTAGTCATTACTCCCTCATCCTCCATCTGACCCTGAGAAATGCTGGCATTTAAAGGGGAAAATGAAGATGAATTCAAGATAAAAAGATAAATCAAGAGAGATCAGTAACACGGAAGTCATAGAAGAAAATGCTTCCAGAACTGTTGAAGAGTGATGAGAGATCACATAAGACAAAGACTGGAAACTGCCCACCAGATAGCTACGTGAAGGTGACTAGTGATCTTGGCAAAAACACTTTCAGGTGAAGAAAGCTGATGGTGCCGGGCTATCAAAAGATATAGTATCTGGGGTCTTAAAAGCTTGAAGGTAAACAAGCAGCCATCTAGCTCAGAAGCAACAAAGCCCACATGGAAGAAGCACACCAGC